AAATACAGGTTATATTAGAATTGTACTGTACTGTAACCTTAAAGGCAGACCTTTACACACTGAACCTTTCAGTCATTGTTAAATTCATTTTCTCCAATTTCAGGAGGACAATGAAATCCCCTCCACTCTGCTTACTAAAGATGGCCTGGCCTCCACCTCTCAGGATGAAATCGGTCCATCTGCACCAACTCCACTCACTGATTTAAACCGTTCTCAAGATGAAGGCCTGCAGACCATCAGCCTCTCCTCCGATGACGACGAGGAAAAAGGAGCAACGAGTCCTCTGGCAGAGGTTGGTGATGATTCGCTAGATCTGCATGAAGAGAGCTTCCCAGGCTTGAGAAGCGAACATCTGGAGCGCTCTCGTGCTGACAAGTTTAAGCGCTCCAGTCTGAAGAAGGTGGATAGTCTAAAAAAGGCCTTCTCACGAAGCAGCCTAGAGAAGAAGATCAACAAGATCGTGCCTCCAGAACAGCGCGAGAAGATCAAGAAAAGCTTCATCCCCAACCACCCAAAGAGCTCCTCTTCCAAGAGCTCGTCCTTCCGTGTCTCTCCAATGACCTTCAATGTCAAGAAGGTTCGAGATGGAGATGCTGACTCTTCCCAGCAGCCTGGGAGCTCACCGAGGAACCTCAGCCCAGTGGAAGTTCCTAACATTGGGGGACCTGATGGTGAGCTGCCCCTGGCTGAGTTACACTCCTCAGGTGAGAAAACAAATGGAGAAGATCTTCGCAGCCCCTCCACCCCGGGCAGCGGGGATGGAGAGGTGTTCATCACAGATGAGGGTGGAGATCTCGAGAACGGTCCATCTGCAATTCTGGCTGAAGAAGAAGTGGATAAAGAAATTGATGACACTGATGGTAATGGTGAAAACAGGAAGGAGGAGGAGAAAAATGCGAAACCTGCAGACGAAGTGTCTGTGTCTCCGCCGTCGACTGCAGCTACTGTTGAACTACCTTCTTAGATATAGTTGTGTTTCTACTCCTCTGACTTCAGTCCACTTCTCAGACTTTGGGAAGCGTAGTTACTCCCTTGTGCCACTGGTATCTTGTTCCCAAGCTTGTTTAATGTTAGCATGTCTGCTAAAATAACATATTGCCCTGAATTAATCCCTAATATAATGTAACTATAACCTATTGTGTTACGTTCAGAAATTAAGCACGTTCTTGTAGGAGGAAATTCCATTTAGATTCCATTTCAAATAGAGTCTGTATAAAAGCCCCGAGAATGGTACAGCAGTTCAGACCAGTCACCACAATGATACACCGAAATAGCTATATTTTCCTGTGGGAGCCTGTGAATACCATGAAATTGACTGAACTGAAACGCCTGAACTCTCACTCTCTATCTTTTTTCTTTGTGTGTAGGAGAGGCATTATGTACCAATCTGTCCTTTGTTATGCTGGAGTCCAGACTCTCTTCTGTCAATGTACATAAAATGTAGTATTAAATTGTATACAAAAAAGTACTATGGTATTATTATGGTTTTTGGAAACAGATGCAAATACCATGTAGAAACCATTGTATATTGGCATGGTAATCATGAAATATATGGTAACAACATGGAACATCATTACTGTACCGTTGTACCAACACAGTACTTTTTGTATGGTATGAAACAGACAACTACAAAAGACAAGATGTGTTGACAAAGTTATGTTTTTTTGACATTTTTTAGAACTTTTATTCAAATATTTAGCAGCACTCCATCTCAAGGCTTGAATAAGTAGTTGTCTATGAGGACTGGTAGCAGTGCTTGGCATGGCGTGAAGGAAGCGTGTTTACAAAATTTCTGGGGGGAAGCCAGCACAATTGACTGCCATCTCCATGGCAACCTTGCCCGCTGCCAACAACTCTCCAATTACTGCTATAGTGCACGGCAAGGGCACACATACACAGCCTGATAAATACAAACGTACAGTGAAGCAGAAGTATTTGTGTGTATTCAAACATTCCATACTGCTGATGTAATAACGTCATATTCTGCTAAACACTAACATTATTTAGATGATTCAGTGGTAAAATACTCTGTACTCAGACATCAGACCTGTGAATATAAAAACTGCTGCCATATATATTGGCTGTAGCTGGGGTTTGCGGGGCCGTGGTTCTGGTTGTACCCGTGGGCCCTGTTTAAAATTGTGTAATAGCACAAATAAATAATAATGTTTAAGGTTTTTCCAAGTTTGTAGGTGTCCAGGTGCAGAAACTGAATGATCAAATGTAAAATATCATTCCCTAGTCTTCACTGTATAAATTAAATTTTAATTCTTGTTAAAACTACAAAGTAATTCAGTAAAGAGCTGTGAGTGATTGTCTCTCATTTAATTTCTTGGATTGGATTGGACACCGACAGCAGCTAGTAAATTAGGCGCGGTCACTTTAAGAGACAATACATCCAATATAAATGATACACAACACATCCGATGTCTTTCTCAACTGTTTACGTTCATTTAGGATAGGATAGAAAACTTTATTTGTCCCCGAAAGGAAATTTGTCTTTAATTTAAGACATAACACGAAGAAGAGTTAGTTATCCTGTTAAGACAACACGAACACGGCACGCAAGCACTCAGTTAAGTTCTTTCGCATTTTGTGCTTGAATGCTTTAAACTAGTTTGAATGTTTAAATTGTCAAGTCTTAAAAACACATGCAACTGATAAGCTTTTGTGACAACGCGCAGCACCGTCAACTGTCCTGAGCGTCTTTTTAGGCTGGCCTCAGCCAGTAGGTTGAAATCGCTGGGGGGCCCCCACAGCCGTGGGCCCCTATAATCATAACTACTCAGTATACACACTTTATTTGAGACACACACACACACACACATACCAGGTGAAGAAGGTGCATTCCTGGTTCTGATGGATGGCTTCTCAGCAGTTCATTTGCCACTGTCTGGAAAACGATAAGGTGAGAATGTATTGATGGCTATAGTTTGCACGGGTTAGCTGAGGTATGGAATACCTGCATGCTCTACAGGTGTGCTGCCTGCAGGCCTCTTCACCGTACTGCATGCTGGTGTCACGTCAACACTGATAAAACAACTTGGGTTTGGTGGGTTTTGTTTACAACAACGAACAATTATCTAGACAACATTTATGCATTTATTAATGCAATTTAAAAGTCCTGTTGTTCTTTACTTAGTAAATGTGGAGTATGTGAGGTAAGATGAATTGTCGGTCTTCAAAAACTTCACGGTTTCATTTTCTACATCAACCATATGTGGGTTTGGCAAGCAGTCTAAAATCTCTCTGGCTCCCAGGTAGACTGAGGGGTCGGGTTACATATACTGTATATCTGTCCAAGTTGAAGGAGGTTTTTTGAGGTACCACTGACTGTGAAATATGTAAGGAGGTATAGAGGATATTGTAGCTGAGATTATAGGTGCCATAAAGAGAATACATTTTCATTCAAAGGAAAATGTTTAGATGGAAAAAAACAAGGGATTCACACCCAAATGTACTGCTAATATTATTATTATTATTATTATTTTCTCCTTGGCCACCGTAACTGTTTTCTGGAACTGAACCTTTAAAATGTAATGAATGATGTTGTCTCCACCGTGTGGCCAAATGTCGTCCATTTTCATCTGCTTGTTGACAAATATCCAACATAAGCCCTTGAAAATAAATTACGAAGTATAAATATTATAAATACCTTATCAGATTGTGATTTGAAATAATATACATTAATAATAATAATCGTATTATGACGTTAATGCTTTGCTAAAACAAGTGTACGTCGGCTTTTCATTACATTTACGTAATAATTGCTTTTACTTTAATATTATCGCCTCGGGAAAGTTTATTTGAAGACCATGTGCTAGTGCTTGCTTTTAGAGTTTAGACAGTAACGTTAACTGACGTTTCAAATTAACAATGTCTATGTAGAGTCGTATTTTAAGTGAGCTATTTATGTCAAATAATATAGTTGGGTATAGTTTAGGCTATTTTAAACACTACAACGGTAATATTCGTAGGTCTAGTCATTTTGGATTCAGATTATGTTTTTATGTCGTCTTTAAAAGCATCTATAATGGTGTCACGGTGGCCGAGAGGTTAAGGCGTTGGACTCGAAATCCAATGGGGTTCCCCCGCACAGGTTCGAATCCTGTTCGTGACGATCTTCTTTTCGCGTGTGTGAGCGCGAGACTGAGCGAATTATTGTTGCAGAACCCCTAAAAACTAATTTATACATCTCAGCTGTCTGTGTGTCTCTGTCTCTCTCTTTGTCTGTCTGTCCGTGTGTGTGTGTGTGTGTGTGTGTGTGTGTGAGACAATTCATGACAATCTAAATCTAGCTGGTTTCACACTTGAATTCGCAAAGCACAACACTAAATGAGAGGAAGCAAGTTTTGCACTTATCTACGTGGCCATGATGGCCTTTAAAAACTTGTTAGATTTCCTTGATAATAACACCAACACAAGGTTAACTGCACTTCACTGATATACAGGACCCCGCCATTAGAATACAGCAAAACTGTAAAAACAAGGCCTTGTAACTAACTGTCAACAGTCTATTGGATTACTGAGGTGATTATGCAACCCAAATACCTTTGGTTTATAAAACCTTGCACATTATTTTAGTATAATGTGTTGCAGCTGTATCGTACAAGGAAATGGTGTGTGGTTATTTCCTTTCCATGTGGACACTTTCTTCACGGTGTCCAATCAGATTGAGCTCAATGTAACAAGAACACGGTAAAAACCAACACTTGAGTCTCTAAAGCTTTCGTTCCTGTGCAACGTTGATGATACTGGACAATACCTCATGTTTGTTTACTCAAATGTGCGTATATTAAAATCGCATTTGTGTATTTAACGGCAGTTACACATCTTTGAGCACCCCCGCGGAACAGTGAGATGGTACATCCGGGAGAATTTAAAGACCCGAACACACACTGGCGCAGCTCAGACGCTTTGTTAGTGAGGGAGAGGCAGGTAGCACTGTGAAATAGAGTTCCCCTATTTTGCGACTTTTTTTTTT